ATGGATCAAAGATTTCCCCCCCTTAATTCTGTTATTCTATTAATTCTGTAAGGAATTATATCAATTTTTCTTTTGTATTTTCCAAGAGTTGTTTTGTGACCTAAAATATGATGTATTTTGGACAAGTTTCCATGAACCACTGAGAAAAAAGTGTATTCAGCTATTGTTGGATGAAATATTCTATAGATGTCTGTTATGTCCATTTCATTTATAATATTTTTCAGGTCCAATAAGTCTTTACTGAGTTTATGTCTTGATGAACTATCTATTTGTGACAAATGTGTCTTCAAATCACCCAGTATTATTGTATTGGGGTCTATCTGGGGCTTCAATTTCAGTAGTGTCTCTTTTATGTAATTAGTTGCACCCATGTTTGGGGCATAAATACTTACTATTGTTATATCTTCTTGTTGGATTGTTCCCTTTACTAATATGGAATGAACTTCTTTGTCTCTTCTGATTATTTTTGTTGTGGTATCTGCTTTGTCAAATATGAAAGTAGCTACTCCTGCCTCCTGCTTGTTTTGGGGATCCATTCACATAATCTATCAATTTCCATTCTCTTACTTTTGGCCTGTGGCTGTATTTGTCTGTAAGATGTGTCCTGTACAACAACACATACTTGGGTCTTGTGTTTTTAATCTATCTGGCAAAGTATGCCTTCTAATTGGAGAGTTGAGACCATTTACATGTGATATTATTATAGAGAAATGTTTATTAATTCTTGCCTTTTGATTTATTTATCATGTTTAATTTGATCTTGTTCTCATTTGCTTAGCTACTTTTTAAATGAGTCTTAGTCTTTTGTGATAATCTGAGGTTTGTATTTTATTTCTTCTGTGAGAAGTATTACTTTTAAGTAAGTTCTGTAGTGCTGGTTTAGTAGTCATGAATTCTTTTAGTTTCATCTTATCTTGGAAGGTTTTTACTTCATCTTCAATTTTCAATGGTAGCTCTTTTGGATATAGCAGTCTTAGTTGACAGTTATTTTCTTTATACATCATTCCAAGCTTTCCTGGCTTGTAGAGTTTGTGCTGAGAAATCAGAAGTGATTCTGATTGGCTTGCCTCTAAATTTTGTGACCTGATGTTTTTCTCTTGAGGCTTTTAAAATTCTATCCTGTTCTGTATGTTAGGGATTTTCATTATAATGTGACATGAACAGGTTATTTTTTGATATTATTTAATTGGGGTTCTGAATGCATCCTATATCTGAATGTTCATCTCATTCTAAAGATTTGTAAAATTTTCTGTTATTAATTACTGAAGCATTTATTCATTCCCTTAGTTCATACCTCAGTCCTTCTCAATTCCAAGGGTTCTTTAATTTGGTTTCTTTGTGTTGCCCCAGAGTTCTTGTATATTCTGATCATAGTTATATATTTTTTTTCTTTAATACTATCTAAATATTCAAGGCTGGCCACTTTGTCTTCCAAGATTTTGTCTTCAGCATGGTCTACAATATTAGAGAGACTTTCAACTGAACATTTTATTTGATTTATTTTTATTTCCAAGATTTGTTTGATTCTTTACAGTATTTCCAACTCCTTATTGAATTTCTCATTCATATTGTGTATCGACTTCATTAATTCATTCAGTTGTTTTACCTGGAATTCATTGATCATTTTTATGATGATTATTTTGAATTCCTTATCTGATATTTCACCCACTTCAATATTTTTTAGGTTCATTTGCTGGTGAATTATGAACTTTAGGAGGTGTTGTATTAGCTTGCTTTTTCTTGTATTCATGCATTGGGTTTTATGCGTCTGTTTGAAGAGATTTCTCTTCCACTCTTATGTGTAGACTTGTGTAGGGCACAGTCTTCACTTGTCAAAGTGTCCTAAGTGATTCAGATTGAGACCCCCTCATAGATGTGGTCTTTATGTTATTTTTCTGTTTTTGCTATAGCAATGGATGTCTGTAAGTGAGACGCGGGGGCCCAACCCTATCTATTTCTACTTGGGGCCTGGTCATTAGTTTGGGTTTTCATCTCTTCTGTTCTCTGTATTAAAGGATAGTTGAATATTGAGTGTCATTAATTTGTGTGTGGAGCAAAGTATGCTGTCTTTTGGTTGAGTTTAGTTCAGCAGGAGAGTTTCTACCCTATGAACCTATAGTGTCCCTATAGGTTCCCAGTACCTCATAGAATAAGGAGAAACAAACAATAGCAACAACCAATGCAAAGAATATACAGCATTAAACTAAACACTTGATTCTTAATATGATATTTACAATGTTAATTGCTACACAAAACAAAAATGTAGGGTCAGTAATTGCCAACAGCCAAAATAATAAGTAACCATGAACTATAACTAACAGGTGTCAACTATGTCATCCACAGCAGTAATAATTGCAGTAGCATTAATGGTGGGAGCAGAAGTTATATAAACTAATTAGTAATAAAAGATGGTAAGAATACCGTCAATTAAGAGAAAAGAAAATATGATAGGAAGGTAGAAAAGAGTTCATAATTTCAAGAGATGATCATAAAGAATGCAGAAGAGATGTAGCATGTGATGGTTATAAGGAAGGAAGAGAAAAATAGAAATCGCAAAGTAAAGAAAGTGAAAGAGAAAATAATAGAATTTAGCTGTTAGAAGAAGAAAAGAAAAAAGAGAAAAAAAACAGACAATGAAAAACCATACAAAACAAAAACATACCAATTAAAAAACCCTAACCCTCAAAGACAAGGCAAGGAAAGATAACTGCATTTTAAAAAAATGCTTATTATGAGAAAAAAAAAGGAATAAATATGTATATATGTCCATGAACCAATCAACACAGCAAACACACACACACACAAAAGGAAAAAAATTCTTAATGAAAAATTAAGGAATCATTTCCACTGAGGTGGTCAAAATAATCAACACAAATAGATGGACACTGTCTATGCCCCACTGTTTTTCTTTCCATTTCTTCTTGGGTTATATACTGAGAGCAAGAGCAAGGGTTGAGGGTTGTTAATCCCTTCCTGATTTTGTATTACTCACAAAGCTGCCAGTAGGAGTGGCCTAAGACTGAAGACAGTTCAAATAATTCTCAGCTTCTTTTCTTCCCAGTATGAGGTAGGGTGGGCTGGGAAGTACCATCAGTTGGAGTTTTGTTGCACAGACCAGTTGGAGTTTTGTCTGCACAGATCAGATCCATGCACTCTAAGGGTGGGGGCACTGCAGAGTTTATTAGTAGAATTCCAGCAGGTGGGGCTTAGGTTTAATCAGGCCTCAGGAGCTTTGTTGGGTGGTGTCTGCTCTAGGAAGATTAGATCAACATAACCCTAGGGTCTGGCAGTTGCCAACCAGGGATTCTACTCATGGGGCAGGACAGCCAATCCTTCACTCCCTCTGCTGCCCATGAACACAGCCTTTTTAGAGTTCCCAGGCTTAGTCCCTGAGTGTATTCAAAGTACCTGTTCAGACTCCTGACCCCGCTTCAGAGGGTCACATGAGCCACCTTTCTCAAAAGGGGATGTGAGTTGGGCTCCTCTTTGCTTTTCTGACTTGAATTCGCCTGGGTAAAATATTCACTGTGCCTGTTTTGCTAGGTATATGTTCTGCTAGGTACACCCTAGACTACAAGGAAGGTGCTCTCCAGGACAGTGTAGTCGCACATCTCCTGGCTCCTGTAGCAGCAGCTGTAGTATGGCCACCCCAAGTTCTCCACCTCAGTTCTCTGTGGCCAGTTGCAAAAGAGAGGACACTTTTCAGTATAGCCTCTGGATCAGCCAAAGGCAGGCTGCTTTTCTTACCTCAGGTTTCTGTACTAATCTTGTCTGATTTCTCCATGTTCCGCCTCCCTCTGCTGAACCAGCAATGCTATTGACACTGCCACAACCAGCTGAACTTCAATGTAGTCTTTCTTTTTTGTTTAATGTGCCCAAATTTCTGAGTCTCTAAGATACTCTGACTGTCCAGTATTGAGCTTTAGTGAAATTCTCTTCCATCCACCTTGCAAAGAAACAGTATTCCTCCTGCCTGAATCCCAAGCCACAGAGCAAGTAGGAATGCAACCTTCCTCTAGCCCGTTGGTTATTCATAATTTTAATGATAGTAAGCAGCCTTTGTGTATTTCCTATATATCATCATGATAGCTAAATGATTTTCTTGGGGCATCTCATCAAGTCCTAACTTGACAGAGTTGTAACCCAATCTCATTTTACCATGTAGGAAACTGAAACCTAGGGATGTTAGATTACTTGTCAACCTGAGAGCAGTTGGTCTCATTTAAACTCACGTGGTCCAGCTCCAGAACTCAGGCTGTTAATCACTGTGCCATGCTTTTTCCATGGACAAAACTTGTTCTTTATCATCAAGAAAAAAGTAGATCTCTAAAATGCTGAGGGAAGTGAAATGGCCAAGGAAGATCAATGAAAGTTTTTGATAATCTTCAAACTGAAACACCTTGAAACATTCTGACCTCACCTGGGTTCCTTTGGTTTGGCTCCAGCTCTTGGGCATTCTCTATCCACTTTTGTAACTGAGATTCCCAGTTCCCGTTGGTCCTCATTGGTGGGGGTCTGCCAGTCCAGACAGGTAGACTTTAAAATAATGTTCAACTCATTACATCATCTCAGCTGTTTTGTTACTATGTACACAGCCACTTCAGAAATTTCTAGAATACTCTGAAATGAAACACTAAATGCCAATCATGGTTTTCAGCTCTTAGAGACCTGCTGTGTATTGTTCTGGCCTCAAGTAAGACTTCAAAACTGTGGTCACCCTGCCTTACATTTTCTCTGGAAACTCAGAAAATACAGAATCAAAGCCATTTTAAGATGCATGACCTTTTCTTTCCTCCTCAGCTTTTTCTGCTCCTGACTGATAAGAAGAAAGAATCCTACAGGCCTATATGCCAGGGTGTAAGAATAGAAAGAAATGGAAATCAGTAACCTACAACAGGGTGCCTAATTGCTCTATCTTGCCACCCACATCTAACTTCCTTCAAGTTTTCAAGCACAGTTTACAAATAAGTAAGCCAAGGCACTTCAAAAGAATCACAGTATAAACATACAAGTGATTTTTTTTATTTTAAAACACATTATGAAACAATATGTAGCATCATGATATAGGATGTATTTCATTAGTCTTTGCTTTTGAAAGCTTTCAACAACAAGTCTGCTGCTAGTCCTGGGGACAAGGCCCCACTGAGAACCTTTCTTTCCAGAAGGGGAATCTGTTCTTGGACAGTAGGATGGGTCCTGAAATGCTCTAACACATTTTCCTGAATGAGATTCCACATCCAAACTTTCTGCTGCTTCCGTCTTTTGGCAGTCAGCTCCCCGCTGGCAAGCATCAGGTCCCGGAATTCTTTCATTTTATCCCACATTTCTGTGATCCCCTCCCCACTTCTGGCAGAAATACGAATCACCTATTGGAAAGGAAGAACCAGAACTGCTTTACTTAAAATGACAGAAAACATTTTCACTGGGACTCATATTTGTCAATTAATATTGCAGTTTATGGAAATAGGCAAGTGACAAAAATGAATGTTGTGTCAAAGTAAATATTCTGATATACATACTAGTGTAATGAATCTAGGATTACTAAGGGCATGGTAGAAATAAGACACTAATTAAAGGTCAAATTCTTTAGCCCAGAAATTTATTTTAATTTGGGATTGTTCAGATAGATGGGGCATCCTGGAGAACTGACAAGAGAGTCACAAATGAGAAAGGCAATACCAGGGAGGTTTCCCTGAGGCCTGAGTTTCAGGAAATAAAGCCAAGTTCCAGTCTGTGTCAAATCCACCTGACTCAGCAAGGCTAAGAGCTAAGCACCTGGCACCTGCACGTACAACGTGGCTCTGGACTCAACGTAATATGACCAGGGAAAACGGGAGCTGACAGTAAGATAAGTCATCGTCCTTATTAGAAGGACTACAGCTTATTCTTTAATAACATAGCATCCTCCTGCTGATAAAGCTGTCAGAATCAATAATATTGCACTACTTACTACAGAATTTTTCTTTGCTTTTTTTCACTTATTAAAAACAGCCTCCAATAAACATAATGGGAATGGAAGTATCACATCACAAGCCTCTTCTCTTGTACTCAAATTCCAATTTAGATAATCAAATCCTTAATTGTTCCATAATCTAAAGGATGGCTCCTTTCAGGATGGATTTGCTCTCACTTCCAAGTGGTTCAAGTCAAGCATTAAGCAATCTAATCTATCACCCCCATTCTAGTTTTTGACATCCAGTGGTTGAAAGATTATATTTAAAATCATGACTACATACTCCGGCTTTGTCATATTTTTAAAACTGTAATCTTCACATTCAAGCACAGATTGATTATATGTCTAGCTGGGACTTATGTCCTCTCTTCTAATGTACACAGTCCACTCAGGATGAAAAATGTAGAATGAAATGCAAACTAACCTTTGGTCTCCAAGCTTCTGAGCGCTTGCGGAGCAATTTCAGTGCACTCACATACTCTGCTTGTATCCTTCGAGCTGGCACAATCAAGTCTCCGTCAGATTTAGTTATAGCTACCAGATCTGCCATCTCAATTATACCCCTTTTGATACCCTAGTGTGAAAAAAAGGAAGAAGAATCAGATTTATCAGAACAGTTCATTGAATCACAAGTATCATAAAAATGGGACAACCAGTTAATACTGTGATTTTGAAAGTCACATGCTTCATTAACTTTTTTCCTGTATTTCTCTAATCCCTGGATGCCAGGAATCACAATTACTTGATAAAAATTACTTAAATCCACCAGTTCATGGGATTACAGAAGTTATCTGTAACATCTCTTCCCAACTTACAGAGTAGTTTAGTAGGATACATTCAGAATTAGAGTAAATAGATCAAAGATACAACATGATTGAGTGGCAGGAGACAATTCACTCAGTCTCATGATGGATTCTGTTTCTCATGAGCAGGATACAAAATCATCCATCCTAAGAATGCTTAAAAATAAAACACACATTTCACTAACATCTACATTTCTCATAACAACATCTTCAAAAGTTTTTTAAATGCCTATAGCATTTTTTTTAAATTTGCAAATAAGAAAAAATAACCCTGATAGCTAAAACTGTCCTACCTCTTGACTTAAATTGTGTTGCATAAAAATACCAGAAATAAAGGACAAAATTCAAGGACCAATCTCATTTGGGAAATATATCTTTCCATTTAAGATTAAAATTCCTTTTCAGGGGCTGTGGTTGTAGCTCAGTGGTAGAGCACTTGCCTACCATGTGTAAGGCTCTGGATTGAATCCTCAGCACCACATAAAAATAAATAAAGGTATAAAAATACATAACATTAAAAAATTCCCCTTTCAAATACTTTTATTTATTACTTTTAATTATTAAATTCTAATAGTTAATGTTTCTACATCATAGCATATAGTCTGCTATTGCTTTTTTTTTTTAGAATTATGTAATTGAAAAGGAAGTTCTATATAACAAAGAACATGCCTTGTCTTGTCTTTGTCCATATTTTACTGGTAAGGACCTCTAAATCCTTAGTATTTCTTGAATGATTTATTACTCATGGTGGGTGCCTGGGACCATACCCAAGTTTATGCAGTGAGATCACTCAGGATAGGGGCCTGATCACACTAGAATGACCAACTGCAGGATTAGAGGGTTGGGGCTTTGTATCAAAACACGTTGGCCCAACCTCTGTGGGGGAAGGGAAGTGAAAGACTGAGTAAAATTACATAGCCAATGATTCCATCAATTTCAGCTTTGTGATAAAACTGCAATTATAATATAGTGCCTTCCCAAGTTATGCAAGTTATTCTAATGAATATCAAACCGAGGGGTAGTGGGATCCCCCAAATTTGTAGCCAGCTGGTCAGGGGCATGGGTGGCCTGGAAACCCTGGAGCTTACAGCTGGTGTCTGAGTGAGGGAAAGCTTGTGGAAGACCTGTGAAGTTCACACTAACTCCAGGTAGTTAATGCCAGGACTGCATTGCAGAAGGAGAGTAAGACACCCATTGCATGAAATATAAATTGTGATGGTGGCAGCCCAGTTAAAAATAACCATCAGTAACAAACACCCATGCAACAGTGGTCTCTTTTAGTGAGAGCTATCCATATATTCCAGTCACTTCCATGTTATAGATAGAAAAATTTAAGTTGTATGAGTAGCTCAAAGCCATACATTCTATTACCATAAGTTGGGAAAAATATAGAGAGAGAATCTGCCTTTGAGTCAGATATTTTAGCCAATGTGAACGATGTTTCTTTCTTTACACTGTTTTCAACTTAATTTACAAAAACACAGCTACATCTTAGAGATACATACTTTGTATTTTGAGAGGAAATATCAAAATAATTACCTGCAATTCATCCCCTCCTGCTGGTGGCAGTAGTAAGACAAACATGTCAACCATGTCAGCAACAGCAAACTCTGACTGACCCACACCTGGAATTTAAATCACAACTATGTCCTAAAATATTCACAGTTATTACATTTTCTCATCCTCACTATCATTTCCATTCCACTTTATTCACTTACACTCACCCCTTTGAACAACCTGTCTTCGTCCATTTTCTGTTGCTGTAACAAAATATCTGAGACTGAAGTTTATTTGGCTCACAGTTCTGGAGGCTGAGAAGACCAAAAGCACAGAGCCAGCATCTGCTCGACATCTGGTGAAGGCCTCCTTGCTGCATCATAACATGGTGGAAGGCATCACATGGCTAGACAGAGCAAGCATGGTAGCTCAGGTCTCTCTTCTTAAAAAGCCACGAATACCATTATGAGGGGCCCCACCTCTAAATACCATTAGCATAAAAATTGGGGGATTAAGTTTCTGACACATGATCTTTTGGGGAGACACATTCAAATCACAATACCCACCTCTGAAGAATTTATTAAATGCCACTATTTTACACTCTTAAGAAAACTGGTAGCCTTCCTAGCTCTCTCTCTCTTTTCCCCATTAGACCTATTCCTTGACTGAATGGAGATCCAAGGGACTTCCACTCTCTCCTAGTCTCAAAGCTCTTCTTGGCTTCTCTTCAGTGAGTAGCTGGAGCACTGTGACTCTAATCTTAAACCATGCCTGCCGATGCTTCCATCTTTTCCTTCATATTTCTACCCTGAAAACCTCCAATCACAGGTCAATCCAAATATGTGTACTGTTTCCTTTATAGGCATGCTTGAGAAGTCACTGCACTGTGGATGGGTGCCACTACAGCGTCATGGTCTCCTGCATCTGCCACACCTTCCCTCACTGCCTAGTAAAGGCACTCCCCATCAAGGCCCTGTGTCAGCCACCTTTCCCATTTCTGACAACAGTGATCTCCCACCGTCTCCTCACCCGATCACTGTGGACCTACTTCACAGAGGAATAAAGGGAGAACTCCCCCCACTTCTCCTGTCCACCTCCACAGACAGATGATAAGATACAAACAGCCCTGCTGCCTGCCCTGCAGTCTGTGGAAGAAGTATTGAAGGGAACCTGCCTCTTCTTTGCCATGAGCCCTGCCTATGTCTACAGGCTCCAATTCCTTGGCACACAAAATGAGCTATACTCAAGGTCTTCTCACCTTGGAACCAAGCAAAACCACATAAATTGTTCCACTTCTCACCAAAGTTCTTACTTTCTCTTTGTAGTCAAGTTTCTGGGAAAAAAGCAATTCATGCCCACTGGCTCAACTTCACATTAATCTCAACCCACTGAAATATGGCTTCCACATCTCCTGGGCCACTAAAACTCCTCTGGAAATTCCCTCCTTTCTGGTTGCCTATTTGATACCTATTCTTCCCTGTTTCCTCACCCCAGTGTTACTGGGAACATCAGTGTATCAGGTGAAAGGCCACATTCGTGAGGTCCCCTTTCACGGGAATGGGGCTGAGAGAAAGCAAAAGTCATGAGATAGGGTTTCCAGGACGTTCATTAAAGAAGGCAATCCCACCTAGGAGGTGCACCTCTTCTGCCTACTCTTCCCTGACCCCTTACTCCTCCTTTCCCTTTCTTTTATCTGGAACATAGATGTAATAGTCAGAGCTTCCTCAGACATCTTTTAACCATGAGCAACCTTGAGCATGAAGATGAAGTGAAGGGAGGACAGACAGACTGAAGCAGCCTGGGCTTGCTATCACTGAATAAGCACCTATTCTGGACTGCCTGTCCCCAGAATTCTTTTGTTTACAAGAAAATACTCTCTTATTTAAAGTCTCTGAGACAAGAAGTTAAATACAACTTTTAGGTAACATGCTTGGTTTTTATACTACCTTCTCCTTCTAAGGCAGCTCTTCTTCCACCTAATCTCAACTGGTGGAGCTCCTTAAGCCCAGTCCTGGCTACTGCTAGGGACTGAATTATGTCTGCCTCTACCCTTCTCGTTCTCATGTGGAAGCCCCAACCCTCGAGGTGACTGTATTTGAAGACTGGGCCTGCAAAGAAAGTAAATGAGGTCATAAGGATGGAACCCCTAATCCAACAGGACTACTGTCTCATAAGAAGAGGAAGAAACATCAGGGTAAGAGAAATGCTCATGGGAGGACACAGCAAGAAGGCAGCCATCTGCAAACCAAAAGAAGTTGCAGAAAAAATGAATCCTGACAGCACCTGGGACCTGGACTTTCAGCCTCCAAAACAGTAAGGAAATAAATTTTGGTTGTTTAAGCCACCCAGTCTACAGTATTTTGTCATGGCAGCGTCAGAAAACTAATATGGTTATCTTCCATTTTTGCCCCATATTTTCCCCAGTTTACAGCCTGAAATATGAAACTCTGAACTATGCTGCTAACTGCTAAATCCGTCTTTCTTACTCAGTCCTTTCTCAGGACACAAACAATCACTTGTACACCTAATAAGCATCTTATACTTAATATACTCACAACTGAACTTCTCATTTTCCCCTCTCCAAATCCCTCTTTTCACAGCATTCTTGATTATCTTCATTTCTCTTCCTTCCTCATCTCTTATACCTAATCATGGATAAAGCCCTGCTGATGTACACTAAAGCCTTTTTAATCCCTCTCCTCTTCTCCATTCCCATTCCCCTGTTTGGTTCAGAGCCCTGCCATCTCTTTCTCTGATGAGTACAAGAGCCTCCTCACTGCATCCTACCTTTGCCCTTCTAATCATTCCACACTCCGCTGCCAGCAATGTTTCCAAAATGCACATGTGGGTTTCTCCCCGTCCTGCTCACCCTGATGGCTTCCCACTTCTTTCAGGGTAAACTCTAACCTCCTTGACATGGCACATAAAGCCCAGACAGTCAGCCCTGGCTCCAGCACTAAACCCCACACACCCCTTCACACTCTGTGCTGTCAGTACTCTAAGTGAACTGCGCTTCTCTGAATGAGTCAAGCTTTCTCCCTCCTCAGTGTCTGCAAAGGCCCTTCACACACATTTTGTTTCACTCCTATTCTTTCTTCAAAACTGAGTCCAGCTGTCACCTCCTTTAGGAAGCCTTCACCGAGTTCCCTAAATCTGAGTGAGTTAGGTTGCATCACAAACATTTAGCATGCAGTAATATAATAGATGGTCTCTCCACCAGAACACGACTAATTGTCATTTCAGTGTCTTCACTGCACATAATTTTGTGCTACAGATATAAAATTAAATAAAACAACCCTCAAATCAAAAAATAGCTAACTGCATTACTTTTCTTAATAATACAGACAGATGAAATGCGCTTACACAAAACAGGCGTGGGGCTTTGCTTGCACAGCTCATCCTAAGTCTACAGCTCTTCTCTGGCACACGTGACATGCTGCCTCAGGTAACAGTGATTAGCAGTGGCTCACTGTCACCCTCCAAATGGCAAGCTCTTTGAGGTTAGGAAGTGTAGCCTATGTACTCCTATTTCCTATAGAGTCTGGGGTAATATCTTGTACTTAATTACAGCTTTAGTAAGTATCTGCTGAATGAACAAAATATAATTAGTTGTTATTCATCTTTATATGGCATTGGTTATAAGAGTATATTATCTTTCTGAAAGCATATCACACTCACCTACAGTTTCAATAAGAATGATGTCATACCCCCCTCCTTCACACAACAGGATAGCTTCATTTGTGGTTCTTGTCACACCTCCTAAAGTCCCTCTGGTAGGAGATGGCCTGATGTATGCATTCATATCTCTTGATAACTCCGTCATTCGGGTTTTATCTCCTAAGAGCGATCCTAAAACACATAATTACATTTTATAATCATGGAACAGTTCTAAGGTCCAATTATCAATCAGCCAGTTCCCAGGAGATGTGTCATATCTTAAGATATATTTCATATTATTGAGCTTTCCTCTAACTTGCTATGTATAATCATGCAGGATTCATTTTTTTTAAACATTCCAATCCCTTTAAAACCTAAAAGGGCTTCCCACTGCCCCAAGCCAGATGCTTTGGCCTAGCACTGAAGGCCCTCAGAACCCAGCCGTACCTTACCTGTCCAAATTTGGCTCCTACCAGTCTCAAACTTCCCTCTGATCCAGCTGGGTGGTTTCTTTATTGCCTTCTTAACATCTTCCTCCCCTCCTTTGCCTGTGCTCTCATGCCACAGACATCTCTTTTTTTCTCAGTGCTAACTTACAAAGTGTCATGCCCAGGGTCTGGGCTTTTCTAGAACTTTTTCACCCCAAGTCTACCTCTTGTGAATTTCTCAGTACAACAGCTGCTCTGCAACCTGCCAGCATCCTGGAGAGCACCAGAGAACTTCACTGTCCCTCCCCTTCCCATCATTACCTGGAGCACCACCACTCCTCATCCTTCTATTTGTGTGAATGGCATTTTCTCTATGTAAATACTACGCAAATGAATCTTTATGCTGCCCTTCATCCTATGTGTGTTGTTTTAATTCTTTACCAGTTAGAAATTTTGAAGCCCAGACTGAATGCAAAGTAAGTCAAATGAATGGATGGAAAAGTATTCACACAAAATATTTTGGATTTCATATCTGTATGTCTTATCTCTTCCAAATGGTGAGTCTCACCAGGAGTAATTTTTATCTCCCCTGCCCAACACATTTGGCAATGTCTAGAGAAATATTCACTTGTCACAGTGTGGGTGGGATGCTACTGGCATCTACTGGATAAAGGGCAGGGATGTTGATAAGCATCCTTCAGTTTAAAGGGCAGTCACCTACAACAAAGAATTGCCTGGCCTCAAATGACACTAGTACCAAGGTTGAGAAATTATGCTTTAGCAAAAATTCCCTGCTTATGAACCTTGTCTTATAGATATTGAACACTGAATGCTAAACAATGTGTTAATAGTCGGCACTCAATTTAAAACTTGTGGAATGGAACTAGTTAAAGTTTTTTAGTTTCTTGCAGTATTTTGGCAACATCAATACCTATAATTTCTAGAAAAATAAAAGCTCTGGAACTACTATTACCTTTCCCTACTTTGCTTTAGCTACATAACATGTGAAGGTGTGGCGCTGTTTTAACCTGAATATTTATTTTCAATCTGCCTAAGGGCTATTTTTTTCCACATAAGTTGATACTAAAGATTAAGAAGATTAAAGATATGCTCTTTTCTCTTATGACTACAATTTAGAGTCTTCTCATAAGTTTGAATTCTAGAGCATACAGCTACCATGTGCCTCAACTACTTTATTTACTTCCCATAAAACTTCTTCCTAAAGTAATTTTCTGCATGAAATCATCCCTGTGGAAGTCAACAATATGCCAAAGTTTAAATTATTATCCTATAGATCCTATCACACTGAACTAAACATTATGAAATTATTCTCCCATGTAATTGTCTTTTGCAGTGAATCCAAAACTGTTAGTTGTAAACCCCCAGGGAGGTCTCAAAGGTATCACAGGGGGTCTGTGAGTTTAAAGCACCAAGACTAACTACAGACCAAAAATTGAATGCTTCTCAAACTTCAGTGCTATTTTTCAAATGTATGTGTTGTCATAATAAGGTAGGAATTTACAGTTCTAGTGTCCTGTGTATCTTCATATTTTTTTTCTTTCAAAGTCTGTTTTTTTTTTTTTTTTTTTAATATGAGAAAGGGGCTCTCCTTTTTGGTTTGAGAAAGGTGAAGAATCATACATTTAGCCCGTGACCCGCGCTGGCTTCATGAAAGAAGGTTTGAGTCGTGAGAAACCGCTAGGGAGTTTTAAATTAAAGAGACAAGACTCTAATTACCTTTAACCAGCTCTTGGACGGCTCCTCCTAGCTCCAGCCTCAAGCCACCTATTGTGGTAGCGAGGTTTACTGAAGAGGCTAGCAAGATAGACAGAACACGCCAGGGAGTGGACTTTTATTGGGGAACAAAAAATTCTGGGGAAAATCCCATCCAATGAAGATGAAGGGGGGCAGCATCCCAAGGTCAGGAGCGACGATTGGGTCTTCAGGGTAGTGGTCAGACACACCTCTGCACGGACAAGCCCTTGGACTTGGAGAAAGGTGGGGAAAGCTCTAACACAGCTGTGCCTAAACACCTCTCACCAGCCAGGGAGGTAACTCAAATCATGTGCGAGGATGGCCTCCCACACACATCCAGACAACTTCAGCACAGACTACTTTATAATATTTTTGCTATCAATTGCAATCTCAAGCTATTATTTCCTCTTTCAATTGCACATAGTCTAGGATATTAAGAAGGTGGAGGGGAAAAGGACTTCATACCTATATGAAAATGAGGAACACTTGTTAAAAATCATCAAGGTACTTACCTTCAACAAAGTTTAAATATAAATAAGGCAATGCATTGACACAGATTTAATCTTAACTTTCTAAGTATAAATTTTATCTACATTATTTATTTATTTATTTTGGTACTAAGGACTGTACTCAGGGGCACTTGACCAATGATCACTGAGCCACATCCTCAGCCCTATTTTGTATTTTATATATAGACTGAGTTGCTTAGTGCCTCACCTTGCTGAGGCTGGCTTTGAACTTGTAAACCTCCTGCCTCAGCCTCCTGAGCTGCTGGGATTACAGGTGTGTGACACTACAACTAGCTACAATTAACCTCTTTAATTATAGTGAATCAAAGACTTCTGAGCTAGATGTCTCAATGAGTGCTAACAGGGATTGTTGCCCACCTCTCTAATGACTATGGCAATTGAAATAATATTCCATCTGCAGAACACCACAATATACACACCAAACACTTCCAAAAAGCCCCCTATATTCATTCTTTCACAACACACACTTGTGTTGATTCATCTGTTCAGAAACCTCCTAAGAATCACAGCTTCACAAGGCCAAGAGCACGGTATCTTATTCACCATTACACTGCACAGTACTTTCTTTACACAATTCCTTGCCTGTAGTAGGCATTCAAATACTGCTTAAGTGAATAACTGCAGTTGAGAAGCTTAAATCATAAATAGGGGTAAGGAAAGAAAGACCTTTCCTGAGTATTTACATGGCATGCTTTATGTTTTCTTTAACTGATCCTTTGAGAACTAAGTTTATATTCATTTTATCTCTGATGATCTGCAAATTAAACTGTGAATGATTGTATGACCTTAAATCAGTAAGTAATTGCTGAACCCTGTATCGTGCACAAGATACAATACTAAGTGCTATAGGGGGAACAGCAATATATTACATGATCCCTCTAAGAGCTTTCTGTTTAACTAGACATATAAACAGGTGACAAGTCATAAACAGCAGTAAATTTCTTTTTCTTTTTTTTAAGCTTAAGATAAGTTACAACAATAGGAAAATAACAGATGGGTAAGAACCATTTTCTACATAGCCACTGATGCAGTCTGCATAAACAATAGAAGATAAGGGTCTAGCCTTAGGCATGATTGCCAAGGGCTAAAATTTGTTTTTGATCATCTTCAACTTCTGGCACCTGTAATGCTGGTTCTCTAAGTGCCACTGTGCTACCCACAAGCTGACCTTCTCTGCGCAGTCCACTGCTCCCCAACCACTTCCCTCAGCTTCTACCCACTCTGCAGAGGCCCCTTCCCTCAGTGAGACCAAACTCAGCTACAGGTACAGGTTACTGGATCATGGGAAAAAAAACAAAAAAGCTCTACAACCCCCCCCAAACTAGCTATACTCACCACCACTAGTGCAGGAAGAAGGGTCCACAGCTAGCACTGATAATCTGTGCCCTCGCTCAGTAAGCATTTTTCCAAAATATTCTATAAATGTTGATTTTCCAGCACCAGGGGGTCCAGACAATCCTATAGTGAAAAAAGATCTTCTAATTTACTAGATAAATGAAATCAGCACCATGTTCAGTTTACTGAATAAAACATTAGACTATCTTATATTATTAAAACTATCATTATTATATATTTAAATATGTCCTAAAGCAGAAAATAAAAATCTATCTTTTTATCTAATCCCCAAATAATGAGGGTATATAGGAATACTTCTCAGTTCCATGTGTTTATATATTCACTTTTTAAAAATACAAAACATGCTTGCCTTTTTACTACAATGTAGATTTTTTGAGACACACTTCAGTGCCTATATTTTAATGTGCTGAATTTCTATATCTGCCCAGGTCTCATCATGACTGGCAATTATTCCACCTGCCCCAATTCTGTCTATTTTCTCTGCCCATTGGAAAAACAACTCATTACTCTAGAAATTTCTAGTGATTGAGAAAGTAATTTTCTATTCACAAAGGATCATTCTTCATCTCACTTGTAACTCAAAGAATATCATAAACAGAGTCCTGAAAAAAATAATTTGTGTTAAGAAAGAGAGAAAAGCTCCCTCCTCCAAGAGCTAGTCAAGCATGGTGGATAAGAAGGCAACCCCCAGAGCCAATCAGCAGGTTCTCAATCTAGTTGTGCCTCTTAGGAGATGCAGAGATCAGTGCTCTCCAAGTTACTTTCCCTCTATGTGTGCTTCAATAATAAAATAGATAGTGTAATAGTACCTATCTTTTCATGCTGTTTTAAGAAGCAGATCAGTTAACATTTGCAATATGTTTGAAACAGTGTGTGGCACACAAGACAAACATGTTTTGTCTAATTAGTATATACAACCCAGGTGTTTAACTGTATTCAAAACTATGTATAGTGTATGACATGCTTTGCTTCTTAATACAATTCTCAGGGCAGCTTCCTATCTTCAAAACCTTTACAGATGCTGAATAAATACCTGCTGCTTTTATTTGTGATGATGATAAAATGACTACAACAAAGACAGGCATTTATCTGGCCTAAAAAGATTAGGATGGAAGAATCAGAATACCACTTCAAAGTTATGTATGAATTGCTATCACTTCAAAGTTATATATGAATTGCTAAGTTAATTCCAGATATTTCTGAACCATTTTCTCTGCCAGGATTCTTTAAAACATAGTAAGGTGTACTTCATCATAACTAGAGTTTCTCTTGGTGAATTTGCTATTTTTCCCTGTCTACAACAAAAAGATTAGTAACACTCAATGGAGTACTCTCCCAATGAGAGTCCCTGGATGAGAGCAGAAGAAATAACCATGTAAAATATGTGGGCTGGTTCAAATACTGGTTGGTGAGCTATTTTTGCAATTATCTTTTTTGATATCCTATTAATATAAAAACTAAGTTTGAGTCCCTATATTGCCAATAAACTATGATATAAACGTCTATTGTAATGTCAACTTTTACATGTATTTACTAATTCTTCCCAAATCCTCTACATTTTGGCCACCACTTCAAGTGGTTTTTTGCAGAAAGGTTGGTTCAAATCACTGAGTTCCCTATCAAGGGACACTCTCTACTCAAACTGCCTTACTTAATTCCTGCTAGTCAAATATATCTAAATTCCCAAAATATAAGAAGCTGACTCACAATTACAGAACTAAGTTAAATTGCCCAAAATAATCAAAGGATTATTTAAATGTAGAAGGCAAGTGAATATGGTTTCTCCTTTAAAGTACATTTTAATATTGAGATGGCTGGATGGTGAGTTTCGGGGGAAACTCAACAGAAAGTATTGGACGCAGTGGAACTTACCTGTAGAAAGACTAACAAAGAATAATAGAGGGGGGCTGGTATTGTGGCTCAGGGGTAGAGTGCTTGCCTGGTGTGTGCAAGGCCCTGGGTTCGATTCTCAGCACATAAAAATAAATAAATAAAAATAAATAAATAAAAATAAAGGCATTGTGTACAACTAAAAGAAATAAATATTAAAAAAATAATAGTAATAGAGGGCTGGGGCTGTGGCTCAGTGGTAGAGCGCTCGCCTAGCATGTATGAGGCCCTGGGTTCAAACCTCAGCACCACATAAAAATAAATAAATAAAATAAAAATGATATTGTGTCCAACTAAAAAATAAATATTTTTTAAAAAAAGAATAATAGAATAATAGAAGCAGAAATGTGATGAGGATAATTATAGTTGATACACCACAAAACAAATATCCACTTTAGACTACTAAATAAGAAGGACTACTGAAAGCAAAGAGTACAATGGTTACTAGTTCTTCCTATACATGTTTATCTTCTGGATGTCACATAAAAATTCTTACCCAAAGAGAAATCCTATATTATTATATCAAAATACAGACCCTTGGTTTAAAGGATCATGGCAAAATTTCAATATATCAAGATTAATACTTGCAAAAGAAAACAAGGCATTTAAAAGTCATCCAACGGGAAAAAGAATAATCTCATTTGATTACAAACATTTTAAAGGAATTTAGAAAATATTTACTGAACAAAAAATAAAAGACTGACCCACTCTAAATGCTAGTGGTTTTCCTCCATTTAATTGTTCTTGTTCTCGGTGGTAGATTAATACTTTTTGAAGAAGCACCTGGGCTAACTCCTTTTTCCTGCTGTGAGTCGATTCTACAAGAGTTATGGCCTCTGCTAAGCAGGCCCTTTGCCCTTGGATTAAGCCAGTATAAAGTTTATCCACAAATCTTTGTTCTTTATCAGAAAGTCCTTCCATGTGGTCCTTTAAGGTTGCTTGTACACATAATTTCCTCCTTAAGCCATTTGACAACAGCATCCACTTTGTACAATGGAGTCCGAGCGACTTAAATGGCTGAGCACACGGGATTCCTGACAGGAGATGAGCACTTGAGTGAAAGGTGAAGTGGTAACCAGGGAAAGGTGTCCTTAACAGGCCTTTTAGGAAATGCTGGTGAGGATGCAGTAGGAGCGCGGGAAGATTCATTTTGTTTGTAACTGAAGAAAACCCCGGATGCTTTTTGACTCAATTGATTTGTGACCTCCCTAGAAGAAAGAGAAACATATTTTGCCAGTTTATACAGACAGCTAAGATATGGAGGTAGTAAAAGTGAAAGTAGAGTGCTTTTCCCACATTCTAAAACACACAAAATTAGCACTCTTAGCTGTATACATGGTTGAGTTTTCTTACTAAATTTAAGAGAGAAGACTTCCCCCTTGGTCACAGTTACTATTTCGAGTAATCCAAATCATGAAACTATTACTCTATTGTGAGGTGGAATTTACATTAAAATGTCCTTTTAAACAAAAAACAAATATACCAAACCTCATTAGGGCAGACATTTTCTGTCACACTTTTTCTCACATTCGTCTTCACACTTTCCTCAGGTCAACATACCCAATTCTGAAGCTCATACAAAAGATTCTTTAAAAAGAATGCCTCTGAAGCTAGCCTTTTATTCATTCTCTACAAAAGAAATGTGATTAGTGGTGTGGCACCAGAGGCACAAGTTTAGACCCATGTGTATCCTCAATAGACTCACCCCGAATAACCTGGCTTAAGCACAAAATCAACAACAATAAGCCTTAATGTGAGTGAACTGTGTGGGTTTGTGTAGTAACAAATGAGTGCATCTTAAAGTATGGTCAGAACAACCAGGTACTTTCTAAAAATGCACATTCCCAGCCCCACTACTCAGAAGCTCTGTAGCTAAGCACACTGAAGTTCGAACCGCTCAGGAATTGGATGAGGAGCCTTAGATTGACTGATATTCTCAACATAGTTTTATATTACATTAGGCAATGAAAGCTGGCAATAGTACACTGAATCAGGACAGGGTAGGGGATATGAGCCATGGCCATTCAGTTGCTGCTACTTATGCTATCATGACCTAGGGCTAGTTACTTAACCACTCCGAACTTCAATGTTCTGGAGTTAAGAGAGCAAAGTGGTTAAGAGAACAAAATGACTTATTTCATGTAAAAAGCCTGGAGCAGTGCCTACCACAGAGTAGGAGCTCAATTAACATTAGTTTTTATTGTTAGTATATGAATTTGTAAAACAATAGTAATAATTAGGTCACAGACCTAAACTTCCAGTGACATACTAAGATTTTGGGGTGGGGGGGGACCAGGGATTGAACTCAGGGGCACTCAATCACTGAGCCACATCCCCAGTCCTATTTTTTTTTTTTTTTTTTTTTTGGTGCTGGGAATAGAACCCAGGGGCTTGTGCATGCAAGACAAGCACTCTACCACCTGAGCTATAGCCCCCAGCACCCCCAGCCCTATTTTGTATCTTATTTAGAGACAAGGTCTCAGTGAGTTGCTTAGTGCCTCGCTGTTGCGGAGGCTGGCTTTGAACTCACGATCTTCCTGTCTCAGCCTCCAGAGCAGCTGGGATTACAGATGTGCGCCACCACATCTGGCTCAAACTAAGATTTATAGGTACATATGTCCTATGCAATTTGGGTTCATAATTATTTGGAAATTTTGGTTTTTCTGGGTCTCATGGCTCATTGAAATTAATTATTTTATTGATCCAAGATACTTCTCCAAATAGCACTTCAAAGCCAATGAATATAAAATTAATTTTAGTTAATAAACATGCTATTCAGGACAAAGAAGTAGTTTAAGATTTTTTTAACCTGTAGAAACTATAAATGTTCATAAATTTTCCAAAAGCAACAATTTTTTTTCAAATTGAGGGGGGCATTATAATATTTATTTATACAAATTTATTTTTAAAAGAATAATTTATTTAAAATGTATAAAATTATTTCTAAAAAAAAAGTTTTTAAAACATCTATCGACGAGTAGCCTTCATACAAACACACAAAAAGACACTTAAAGTATCTAACAGGGGATCTATTGTGGAAGGTGTCATTAAACAACATCTTTCAGCTCAATTCACATCCTCACCACCAGCAACACCAGTAGCCTGGACACTCACAGGCAAGAACTGGATTTTTATTCAACCCCTACTTTCCAAGCACATACTACTTTCCAGATTGTAATATATCAGGGATGGATCTGAAAGAATAAAAGAGCTGATGAAGGATGAAGACCGCTTTCTAGTATGAGGACTTGGCCTCTTCCCTGCCATATTAGAGAAGACTGAAAAATTCAGTGATGACAGAAGATACCAGTTTAAGGAACTAGTGATGGGAGATATGTCTGGATCAATATGTAAACTTTAGGGGCCAAGAAGCTAGCTTTTGGGTCTTGGCAGAGGACAAACAACAGAGACCTTTATGGAGGTGACACCACTGACTTTGCTCTTTTAGGAGATAAGTCTAGGAACAGTGGTGAAAGGTCAAGAGTGATGAGACCCTGGTAACACAGAGTCCAGTTTAGAAACCCTAGCAAGGACCCCTAGCACAGGAGCAAAGGAGATGATGAGGACCTGGACTTCAGCAAGGTAGTAAGTATTGTACAAGATAAGGCACATTCAATTCAATCCACCTTCATGTCCCCGTTAGAATCCTCAAAGCTTGACATGAAGCCTGGCTCTCTTCACTTGCTAAGGGGGGGAAAAAAAACTGTTGCTGATCTGATCAGAATTTATTTTATTACCCACTTACCTGCAACTTTAGAGCTTATAAACCACTTTCAAATACTTTATTTTACCTTATACACCAATCCCATAAGGACAGTGTGACAGTTATTAATCTCGTTTAACAGAAAGGGAAACCAAGTATGAGTTAAACAACTATAGTCACAATCAGAGACAGGGCCAGGACTCAAATCCATACCTTTGACTCTCTATGGAATTTCTTCTTAATAAATTATGATAGAACAAAAGAGAAATCCTTTGGCTAAAAGGGAAATAGATATCAGTTAACTTTACCCACTTTCCTAAGTGAATAGGGGAATGGGGCACAAGACCAGAAACAGGAAGACCACCTGGAGAATTGCACTAGAAGGTAGATGAGAGGAATGGCCTGGACCAGGTTGAGGTAGTGTTCAGACAGATTCCAGATGAATTCTGAAAGAACTGCTAATGTGGGTAGGAACCGGAACAGTCAAAGACAAGGCAGAGGTTCTTACTTGAGCCATAGAAAGACAGAAAGATGGGGTTGAGTGTGGTGGCGCATGCCTGTAATCCCTAGGCTCAGGAGGATGAGGCAGGAAAATCTTAGTTCAAAGTCAGCCTCAGCAATTCATCGAGGCTCTAAGCAACTTAGCAAGACCTTATCTCTAAATAATAATAAAAAAAAAAAATACAAAAAAGATCTGGGGATGTGGCTCAATGGTTAAGTGACCCTGGGTTCAATCCCTGGTACCAAAATAAATAATAAAAATAAATTAAAAAAAAAAAGAAAGACAAAGTTGTCCTTCAGTGAGCTAGGGAATACTGTCAGAAGTAAGGTTTAAAGTGCAAACAGGAGTTTAGTTTCCAACACATTAAATTTAAGAGGCCCATTATTAAACATTACACCATGTATACCAGAATCAGAACATCACATGGTCCCCTACTAATATGTACAATTTTAATGTATTCATTAAAAATAAATTTAATCAAAAACAAAACAGACCTACTAGATATCCAAGTGAGATATGGAGTGAGCAGCAGCATTTATCGGTCTTAAGTTCCAGGCAGAGGTCAGAGCTGTGGCGTAAATTTGGGAATTACTGTTTAGCTGACCAAATAAGTTCACCAACAAAGGGATTGGATAGAGGATGTGTGACACCATTTTTTGATAAAACTTTACACACACATGCAGGAGGAATACACATGTTGAAGTGTACTTATCTATAAACTCACGTATAGATAAGTAGTCTTGAGGTGTTTCCATATTGTTTTGGGCATACTGTTTCTGATTTTTTTCAAGGCAGTCTATTATTATGGTAGTAGACAGAAGCATGCCTACCCAAGGATGCCCATGTCTGAATTCCTGGAACCTATAAACATGTTATATCACATAGCAAAGGGGAAATGAAGTTTGCAGAAGGAATTCAGATTGCTAATCAACTGACTCAGATACATAGATTAGTCTAGTTTATCTCAGAGGATCACTGCAACCACCAGGGTCCTTACAAATGGAAGCCGGGAGGCAGAAAAGAACAGTGCAATATCATGTGAGGACTCCACCCATCCCCACTGGTAAGGGAGTAAAAGGGCTAACCTGTAGAAGACAGAAAAATCCAGGAAGCTGATTTTCCTTGAGATCCTCCAGGACAGAATGAAGTATTATTGGTAGCTTGATTTTAGCCCAGTGATACCCATGTCAGACTTGATCAAGATAACTGTAAGATAATAATTCTGTGTTGTTTTACACCAGTTTGTGGTAATTTGTTACAGTAGCAACAGAAAACTAACACAGTTGCTAAGGTAACCAAAAATATTTAAAATAAAATTCAGAATTTTTATGAGAAATATCTAATAACTACTCATGATTTAATTATCTGTCATAACTTGTACATTATTTCCTTTTTCATTTGGATTTCTTCCTAACATGAGAAGTAAACTTGATGAATCCTTAATTTTATCATTTATTGTGACTATCAGTGTTACATCCAATACATTCATATGTCAATTTCTAAATTAGACATAAAATTAGCATATGTTCTAGAAAAATCAGTAAACTGAATTATGTGTAAGGTGAAAAAGTGATGTTTTAGCTATGTTACTGCAAAGCTTTTATTAGATTCATCACATTAAGATTAGAAGTTCAAAAGTACTCCAAAATAGCATGACGTACATATTCTAGTCACCAGTTCCGAGCATGGTAGCTTTTATTAAACTATGCACAAACTATCATAAAAATAAGAAGTCTGGAATGCATCTCATCCACTTTTTTTTTTAACCTGAAAAACACCTATTTAGTTCAAATAACACCTCCTTTGAGGCACATTTTCCCCCAACTCTTTCAGGCAGTTAATTGTTCTATTCAATGTTCCACTGCCTTTTGTTCATATAACAGGTAGTTTTCTTTTCCTTTTCCTTTTTTTTTTTGATAGTGGGAATGGAACCCATGGGCACTTTACCAAAATTCAGCTACATCTCCAGGCTCTTGCTAAGTTGCTGAGGGTTTAAGTTGCCCAGTATGCACCTTGAACATAAGATCCTCCTGCCATGGCCTTTGATTGTTGGGATTACAGGCCTTGTCTTTCTGTCTTTAAATTAATCTATTTTGAGACCTCTTCCCACCAATTTTCACCCCTCACCTTAGCTGAGAACCTCCCAGAGAAATGACAAAATATTATTGCTTATTTCCCCAGAATCTAACACAGTGCCTGACACAGAGTAGCCTTTCTATATTTTGTTTTTTTAGGTCAATGATTGGATATTCTATCTACCTTGCATTGATCTCACATACGATGAAGAAAAACTTGGGTTACGATACTTATCCATGTGATCTGAGGACCTTTACCTAAAATATTCCGCCTTCTAAGTTCCCTATTTCAAATCATCTAGCCAGAACAGAAAATGTTTTAAGGAATCAAAACCTAGTAGCAAGAACATTAGTAGATGAAAATATGTCCATTTATAACATCTCAAGCAAATAACATTTCCTAAATGAGATGAATAAAAACAGTCTTACAGGGCTGGGGATGTGGCTCAACTGTAGAGTGCTTGCCTAGCATGAGCAAGGCCCTGGGTTCAATCCTCAGCACCAAATAAAAATAAATTAATTAGTCCAACTACAACTAAAAAATAAATACTTTAAAAAATCTTTAAAAAACAAAACAAGAGAACTTCCAATCACTCCTGCAAGGTAGGCGGGCCTGCGACCCACCGGAAGAAGAGGAGCAGCGGCCTGCTGAGAGGCAGAGCCGCCCCCCACCCCCCGCGCCTGCCAGGTAGGCGGAACTGTGACCACCGACAGAAAAGGCCCAGTGGCCCCTGGCAGGACAGAGCTTCCAATCACTCCTGCAAGGTAGGCGGGCCTTCGACCCACCGGCAGAAGAGGAGCAGCGGCCTGCTGAGAGGCAGAGCCGCCCCCTCCCCCTGCGCCGGCAAGGTAGAGGGAACTGTGACCACCCATAGAGCAGGCCCAGCGGCCTGCTGAGGGGCAGAGCCGCCCCATCCCCCTGCGCCGGCAAGGTAGAGGGAACTGTGAGCACCCACAGAGCAGGCCCAGCGGCCTGCTGAGGGGCAGAGCCGCCCCCCACCCCCCGCGCCTGCCAGGTAGGTGGAACTGTGACCACCAACAGAAAAGGTCCAGTGGCCCGCGGCGGGACAGAGCTTCCAATCACTCCTGCAAGGTAGGCGGGCCTGTGACCCACCGGCAGAAGAGGAGCAGCGGCCTGCTGAGAGGCAGAGCCGCCCCCTCCCCCTGCGCCGGCAAGGTAGACGGAATTCTGACCACCCACAGAGCAGGCCCAGCTGCCTGCTGAGGGGCAGAGCCGCCCCCCAACCCCCGTGCCTGCCAGGTAGGCGGAACTGTGACCACCGACAGAAAAGGCCCAGTGGCCCGCGGAGGGGCAGAGCTTCCAATCACTCCTGCAAGGTAGGCGGGCCTGCGACCCACCGGCAGAAGAGGAGCAGCGGCCTGCTGAGAGGCAGAGCCGCCCCTTCCCCCCGCGCCTGCAAGGTAGACGGAACTGTGACCACCATCAGAACAGGCCAGACCTGCAACCGACAGACAGAACAGGCCCAGTGGCCTGAGGAAGAGTAGAGCCGCCCCCCCCCCCCCCGCGCGCCTGCAAGGTAGGCGGACCTGCGACCCACAGGCAGAACAGCCCCAGAGGCCTGCAGAGGGGCAGTGCCGCTGCCTGCGCCTACAAAGTAGGCAGAACAGCGGCCACAGACAGAACAAGCCTAGCGGCCCGCAGAGGGACAGAGCCGCCGCCTGCGCCTGCAAGGTAGGCGGACCTGCTACCGACCGGCAGAGCAGTCCCAGCAGCCTGCCGGCGTGGTAAGCACACTGCCTCAATTGGAGGAGGGGCAGAGCCGCCGCTCGCGCCTGTGAGGGAGACTTTGCAACTATACAAGACCAATATAAATATATAGGGGGAAAATTCTATAGCACAACAGTTTCACCAAGTAGAAAGGAACGCGAACAGTATGAAGAGACAAGGAAAGAAAGGACCACAAGCAATGCAGGTCAACTCAATGTTAGAAGAGGTAATAGCTGCAGCAGATGGAATATCAGATAAAGAATTCAGGATATACATGCTTCAGATGATCTGGAGTATCAAGGAAGACATCAGACAGCAAAATCAGACAATGAAAGATCACTTCAATAATGAATTACATAAACAAATCCAAGAAGCAAAAGATCAACTATACAGGGAGATAGAGGTTATAAAAAACAAACAAACAGAAATCCTAGAAATGCAGGAAGCAATAAACCAACTTAAAAACTCAATTGAGAATACTACCAGCAGAGTAGAACACTTAGAAGATAGAACATCAGACAATGAAGATAAAGTATTTCAACTTGAAAAGAACATAGACAGCTCAGCAAGACTGTTAAGAAACCATGAGCAGAACATCCAAGAAATATGGGATAACATCAAGAGACCAAATTTAAGAGTCATTGGGATACAGGAAGGGACAGAGTTTCAAACCAAAGGAATGAGCAATCTATTCAATGAAATAATACGAGAAAACTTCCCAGACTTGAAGAATGAGACAGAATCCCAAATCCTAGAAGCCTACAGGACACCGAATGTGCAAAATCATAAGAGACCCACACCTAGACACATTATAATGAAGATGCCCAACATACAGAATAAGGAGAGAATTTTAAAAGCTACAAGAGAAAGGAAGCAGATCACATTTAGGGGTAAGCCAATCAGGATAACAGCTGATCTTTCAACACAGACTCTGAAAGCTAGAAGATCCTGGAATAACATATTTCAAACACTGAAAGAAAATGGGTTCCAACCAAGAATTGTGTTTCCAACGAAATTAAGCTTCAGGATGGAAGATGAAATTAAAACCTTCCACGATAAACAAAAGTTAAAAGAATTTGCAGCTAGAAAACCATCTCTTCAAAACATCCTTGGCAAAACATTACAGGAAGAGGAAATGGAAAATAACAATGAAAACCAACAGTGGGAGGTAGGACAGTAAAGGGGGGAAAAATAATCAAAGAGGAAAACAAACCATGTTTAGTAACATAAATAAACAAATATGGCTGGAAGAACAATCCATATCTCAATAATAACCCTAAATGTTAATGGCTTAAACTCACCAATCAAGAGACACAGGCTAGTAGAATGGATCACAAAACAAGACCCAACAATATGCTGCCTACAGGAGACGCATTTGATAGGAAAAGACATACATAGGCTGAAGGTAAAAGGTTGGGAAAAATCATATCACTCATATGGACTTCGGAAACAAGCAGGAGTGTCCATACTCATATCAAATAAAATAGATTTCAAGCCAAAGTTAAACAAAAGGGATAAAGACGGACACTACATACTGCTTAGGGGAACCATACACCAACAAGACATAACAATCATAAATATATATGCCCCAAACAATGGTGCAGCTATGTTCATCAAACAAACTCTTCTCAAGTTCAAGAGTCTAATAGACCACCATACAATAATCATGGGAGACTTCAACACACCTCTCTCGCCACTGGACAGATCTTCAAAACAAAAGTTGAATAAGGAAACTATAGAACTCAATAACACAATTAATAACCTAGACTTAATTGACATATATAGAATATACCACCCAACATCAAGCAGTTACACTTTTTTCTCAGCAGCACATGGATCCTTCTCAAAAATAGATCATATATTATGTCACAGGGAAACTCTTAGACAATATAAAGGAGTAGAGATAATACCATGCATCCTATCTGATCATAATGGAAGGGAACTGAAAATCAACGATAAAAGAAGGAAGGAAAAAGAATACATCACTTGGAGAATGAACAATAGGTTACTGAATGATCAATGGGTTATAGAAGACATCAAGGAGGAAATTAAAAAATTCTTAGAGATTAATGAAAACACAGACACAACATATCGGAATCTATGGGACACACTGAAAGCAGTTCTAAGAGGAAAATTCATTGCTTGGAGTTCATTCCTTAAAAAAAGAAAAAAAAACAACAAATAAATGATCTCATACTTCATCTCAAAATCCTAGAAAAAGAAGAGCAAAACAACAGCAAAAGAAGTAGAAGGCAAGAAATAATTAAAATCAGAGCTGAAATTAATGAAATCGAAACAAAAGAAACAATTGAAAAAATTGACAAAACTAAAAGTTGGTTCTTTGAAAAAATAAACAAAATCGACAGACCCTTAGCCATGCTAGCGAAGAGAAGAAGAGAGAGAACTCAAATTACTAGCATACAGGATGAAAAAGGCAATATCACAACAGACACTTCAGATACACAGAAGATAATCAAAAATTATTTTGAATCCTTATACTCCAATAAATTAGAAGATAGTGAAGGCATCGATAAATTTCTTAAGTCATATGATCTGCCCAGATTGAGTCAGGAGGATATAGACAACCTAAACAGACCAATATCAATTGAGGAAATAGAAGAAACCATCAAAAGACTACCAACTAAGAAAAGCCCAGGACCGGATGGGTATACAGCAGAGTTTTACAAAACCTTTAAAGAGGAACTAATACCCATACTTTTCAAGCTACTTCAGGAAATAGAAAAAGAGGGAGAACTTCCAAATTCATTCTACAAGGCCAACATCACCCTGATACCTAAACCAGACAAAGACACTTCAAAGAAAGAAAACTACAGACCAATATCTCTAATGAACCTAGATGCAAAAATCCTCAATAAAATTCTGGCCACTCAGATACAAAAACATATCAAAAAAATTGTGCACCATGATCAAGTAGGATTCATCCCTGGGATGCAAGGCTGGTTCAATATAAGGAAATCAATAAATGTTATTCACCACATCAATAGACTTAAAAATAAGAACCATATGATCATCTCGATAGATGCGGAAAAAGCATTCGACAAAGTACAGCATCCCTTTATGTTCAAAACTCTAGAAAAACTAGGGATAACAGGAACATACCTCAATATTGTAAAAGCAATCTATGCTAAGCCTCAGGCTAGCATCATTCTGAATGGAGAAAAATTGAAGACATTCCCTCTAAAATCTGGAACAAGATAGGGATGCCCTCTCTCACCACTTCTGTTCAACATAGTTCTCGAAACACTGGCCAGAGCAATTAGACAGACGAAAGAAATTAAAGGCATCAAAATAGGAAAAGAAGAACTTAAATTATCACTATTTGCAGATGACATGATTCTATACCTAGCAGACCCAAAAGGGTCTACAAAGAAACTATTAGAGCTAATAAATGAATTCAGCAAAGTGGCAGGATATAAAATCAACACGCATAAATCAAAGGCATTCCTGTATATCAGCGACAAATCCTCTGAAATGGAAATGAGGACAACTACTCCATTCACAATATCTTCAAAAAAAATAAAATACTTGGGAATCAACCTAACAAAAGAGGTGAAAGACTTATACAATGAAAACTACAGAACCCTAAAGAGAGAAATAGAAGAAGATCTTAGAAGATGGAAAAATATACCCTGTTCATGGATAGGCAGAACTAACATCATCAAAATGGCGATATTACCAAAAGTTCTCTATAGGTTTAATGCAATGCCAATCAAAATCCCAACGGCATTTCTTGTAGAAATAGACAAAGCAATCATGAAATTCATATGGAAAAATAAACGACCCAGAATAGCAAAAACAATGCTAAGCAGGAAGTGTGAATCAGGCGGTATAACGATACCAGACTTCAAACTATACTACAGAGCAATAGTAACAAAAACAGCATGGTACTGGTACCAAAACAGGCGGGTGGACCAATGGTACAGAATAGAGGACACAGAAACCAATCCACAAAACTACAACTACCTTATATTTGATAAAGGGGCTAAAAGCATGCAATGGAGGAAGGATAGCATCTTCAACAAATGGTGCTGGGAAAACTGGAAATCCATATGCAACAAAATGAAACTGAATCCCTTTCTCTCGCCATGCACAAAAGTTAATTCAAAATGGATCAAGGAGCTTGATATCAAATCAGAGACGCGCCATCTGATAGAAGAAAAAGTTGGCTACGATCTACATTCGGTGGGGTCGGGCTCCAAATTCCTCAATAGGACACTCATAGCACAAAAGTTAATAACTAGAATCAACAAATGGGACTTACTCAAACTAAAAAGTTTTTTCTCAGCAAAAGAAACAATAAGAGAGGTAAATAGAGAGCCTACATCCTGGGAACAAATCTTTACTCCTCACACTTCAGATAGAGCCCTAATATCCAGAGTATACAAAGAACTCAAAAAATTAGACAATAAGAGAACAAACAACCCAATCAACAAATGGGCCAAGGACCTGAACAGACACTTCTCAGAGGAGGACATACAATCAATCAACAAGTACATGAAAAAATGCTCACCATCTCTAGCTGTCAGAGAAATGCAAATCAAAACCACCCTAAGATACCATCTCACTCCAGTAAGATTGGCAGCCATTATGAAGTCAAACAACAACAAGTGCTGGCGAGGATGTGGGGAAAAGGGTACACTTGTACATTGCTGGTGGGACTGCAAATTGGTGCAGCCAATTTGGAAAGCAGTATGGAGATTTCTTGGAAAGCTGGGAATGGAGCCACCATTTGACCCAGCTATTCCCCTTCTCGGTCTATTCCCTAAAGACCTAAAAAGAGCATGCTACAGGGACACTGCTACATCGATGTTCATAGCAGCACAATTCACAATAGCAAGACTGTGGAACCAACCTAGATGCCCTTCAATAGATGAATGGATAAAAAAAATGTGGCATTTATACACAATGGAGTATTACTCTGCATTAAAAAATGACAAAATCATAGAATTTACAGGGAAATGGATGGCATTAGAGCAGATTATGCTAAGTGAAGCTAGCCAATCCCTAAAAAACAAATGCCAAATGTCTTCTTTGATATAAGGAGAGTAACTAAGAACAGAGTAGGGTCGAAGAGCATGAGAAGAAGATTAACATTAAACAGGGATGAGAGGTGGGAGGGAAAGGGAGAGAGAAGGGAAATTGCATGGAAATGGAAGGAGACCCTCAGAGTTATACAAAAGTACATACAAGAGGAAGTGAGGGGAAAGGGAAAAATAATACAAGGGGGACAAATGAATGTCAGTAGAGGGGGCAGAGAGAGAAGAGGGGAGGGGAGGGAAGGGAAGGGGAGGGGAGGGGAGGGGGGATAGTAGAGGATAGGAAAGGCAGCAGAACACAACAGACACTAGTATGGCAATATGTAAATCAATGGATGTGTAACTGATGTGATTCTGCAATCTGTATATGGGGTAAAAATGGGAGCTCATAACCCACTTGAATCAAAGTGTGAAATATGATATATCAAGAACTATGTAATGTTTTGAACAGCCAACAATAAAAAATTAAAAAAAAAAAAAGAATACAGAGCTTACACAATCAAAAAAAAAAAAAAAACAGGGGCTGGGGATGTGGTTGAAGTGGTAGTGCACTCGCCTGGCATGTGCGGGGCACTGGGTTCGATCCTCAGCACCACATAAAAATAAAGATGTTGTGTCCACCGAAACTAAAAAATAAATATTAAAAAAAATTTTTCTCTTTTTCTCAAAAAAAAAAAAACAGTCTTATAAAAAAGTAGTATAGATTACTCTAACATTTAAAATAATGATGTCATGGGCTGGGGTTGTAGCTCAGTGGTAAAGCACTTGCCTTGCATGTTTGAGGCACTAGGTTCGATCCTTAGCACCACATACAAATAAATAAAGATACTGTGTGTTCATCTACAACTAAATTTTAAAAAATATGTTTAAAATAATGGTGTCTTATAACAATTTAATTGCAATCTTCCTCAAGAAATCCATGCCAACTATTTGATAAGTTAACATCTATTCTGCAGGCATAATTCTTTGTCCTTTGATGTCAGTACAAATCTTAAAAGGCTTTTAAGTGAAAGAAAGAACCAGGAAAAGGATGATAACATTTACTCCCTCCCCTTCTTCTTTCCCAAACTAAAATAACAGAAATGAAACCAAAGACCTATCCAGATGTATAGAATTCTAGGTTCTGATACCTTCCAAACTCTTCCTGGGGACTGAGTTTCTTAGTTCCCCTCTCTCTCTGGACCATGTGAATGGCAGCTAGAAGCTGTTGCTTTCTGCTGGCTGTGGACTATGTGTGAGTGCTGGACAAGCATTTCCTAATCTGACCTACAGATGAAAAGGCTCAGCAATGTTAGGTTGATTGGCCACGGCCTCAGAATGAGTGGAAGAACTTGGGAAAACCTGAACCTCACAAATATGTTATCTATATGATGTGAACAGAGACAATAAAATAATCCTTTACATTTGAATGTGGCATAATTATACCTGACTGTTGTTTATTTTTTACTTTTTTTTGCTTAGGCCAAAATGAAAAATTAGTTTACATTTCCTGTGCAAACCATATTGGTAGGAATTCTGAATGAAGTGTTAGGTGACAGAACAGACTGAATTTTAAACATTTTAAATGTTTCTCATTTCATGGGAAACTCATATCTGATAACTAAATTTATTAACAAACCACATTAATTTATACAATTAATCTGATTTTAAAGGACCCCACAAATTTTTTAAGAGTTATCTAACTCAGCCTTATGAGCAACATTCTACCTATACATACATGTCACAGGTAGAAGATAAAAGTTAGTTTATTAACTTATATAACAAATAAGTTATTTGTAGAGTGCTCACCTTGCATGTGAGAGGCCCTGGGCTTGATCCTCAGCACCACATAAAAATAAATAAATAAAATATAGGTATTACGTCCATCTACAACTAAAAAATAAATACTAAAAAAAGAAAAAAAGTAGGAGGGAGACCAATAGGATGGGGGGGATCTGGGTTTGGGAGGAAGGGAGGTACCTGGGAGTAAAATTGATCAAATGATGTTGCAGGTTTGTACCAATAGGCCACAATGAAACTCAATGTATAATATGCAACAGTCAAAAAAATTCACATCTGTTTTTCTCCTATAGGATGGGAGAAGGGCTTCCTACCTGCTCATGTAACTAAGAGTATTTTTTCTGCTTTCTTATACAAAGAAAAGTTGGCCAATAATCATGCAAGAGAAAATCTGTAGCATTTATAATGTTCAGTAAGATACCTGAAAGCATCACCATTTCTAATATACCAGAATATCAATTTATTAATATATAATGAAAAACATCAAGTAGGCAAAAATAACGAAATGAGTTTATAAGGGCATCCCCTCCTTAAATGTCCCTCAATGGCTCATGTGTTAAAGGCTTGGTCCCCAGTCATGTGCTATTGGAAGGTGGTAGAACCTTTAAGAGGTAGAGTTTAGTGGGAGGAAGTTAGGTCATTGCGGACATGCCCTTGGAAAATCCCCAGCACCTTCTTTTGTTCTTGGCCATCATGAGATGAGCTGCCAAACACTGCCAACACTCCTGCCATGATATACTGCTCTACCACAGGACAAAAGCAACAGGGCAAATCTGTCATGGACTGAAGCCTCCAAAACGGTAAGCCAAAATAAATCTTTCTTATCGTCTCAGGTATCTTGTTACGGTAACAGAAATATGACTAATACACCTCCCGTGAAAGAAGGTTCACAAGAACAGTAGCATTTTAACATTTTCACATCTGTGCTAGAGAGGGCACTGGGATAAAGGAACTTTCTTATACTCTATACTCCATTGGTGGGAATATAAATTACTACAGCCCACATGGAAATCAGTATGGAGGTGTCTCATAAAACTAAAAATAGAAGTACCGTATCATCCAGCTATATCACTCTGGTATTTATCCAAAAGAATTAAAATCAGCATACATAAGAGATACATTCATACCCATGTTTATCAAAGCATAATTCACTACAGTCAGGCTATGGAATCAATCTAGGTATTCAGCAACAGATGAACAGATAAAGAAAATGTAGTATACATACACAATGGAGCTTTATTCTGCCATAAAGATGAACAAAATTACGTCATTTGTAGTAAGTAGATGGAACTGAAGTGATCATGTCAAGCGAAATAAGCCAGATTCAAAAAGACAAGTACCATATGTTTTATGCCATATGTGGAAGCTAGTGGGAAAAAAGAGGATTGAGATTTATACATAATTTAAAAAATAAAATAAAAGGGTATCATGAAAGTAGAAGGGAGGGGCTGGGGTTGTGGCTCAGTGGTAGAGCACTCACCTTGCATATGAGAGGCCCTGGGCTCAATCCTCAGCACCACATATAAATAAATAAATAAATAAATAAATAAATAAATAAATAAATAAATGTTTTATGTCCATCTACAACTAAAAAATAAATATTAAAAAAAGGGACAAAAAGTAGGAGGGAGACCAATAGGATAGAAGGGGATCTGGGTTTGGGAGGAAGGGATGTATCTGGGAGTAAAACTGATTAAATGATATTGCAGGTTTGTACCAATAGGCCACAATGACACTCAATGTATAATTAATATGCAACAGTAAAAATTCACATCTGTTTTTCTCAAAAATACTTTCTATACCCATTCTTTCCTCTCTACCACATTCTATGTCTCTACTGAGTTTCCACAGGAAGAAATATGCTTATATTAGTCAACACACACACACACACACACACACAACTGCAACAAGTTTCACTAAAAAGACTTACCCTATTTATATGTGATACACTCTAAGACTGTCTTTTCTTTCTTTTTAATAGATTGCAATGTGCCAATGGGTACAACTTTAAATCTGAAAAACCCAATCTACTATAGCCACCTCTCTGACCACTATTAATTTATCTTCCATACTATCACTTAACCTCATGGTCATAATATCCTCTGCTTAAAACACTAAAATGGTTCCCTCTGCCCCATCTGAAATAGAAAAGAAAAATAATAATTTTATGTATATGATTCATTTATTCACTCAGTAAATATTTATTGAGATCCTACCATATGCTAGGCCCTGTGCTAGGCAATGATAGATGGGCCAGGCATGACTCCTGTTAAAATGGAGATTACACTAGTCATTACATAAGTATTTCATATTATTTGAGTTCTTCTCTTAATTCACATCTCAACTTTTACCACATTACTATAACCACTATGATCAGCACACAGGTTCCAGAAAAAGCTACACTCTTTCATACAGTGTGGCTGTCATCTATAATGTTTTGTCTGGCCAGAATGTCCTTCTCTCCTTTAATCAGATCACATATTCTTTCTCAGCCTTCAAGAACCAACTCAAGTGTCTCCTACAGAAGAGTTCCCTGGCTTCCTTTCCTCACACCTTCAGTTCACTCATATCTCCTGCCATCAGTGCTGGCCATAGTCCTCTCTTACAGTGCTCATTACACTGTGCTGTGGTCATTTAAGATGGCAGTCTTCCCTAGACTCTAAGGTATCTTTGTCTCCACAGCAAAGTTCATTTCTCACAGAATAAATGTATGAATATGTGCTCTAATTTTGCGTGGGTCCATAATGCCATTACACTGATTACTCAATGTTTTGAAAACATACATTTTTTCTAGATTGTGCAGTAAGTATAGAGGTAAGAACTTTCTTTTTAAATTCTCATTTTAACATATGGATATTTTCTTCATTAAAAATTAGCTCAGCATCAGCCAGTCTGACTTGGGATATTTGTCTTGAAATTGATCCAATGAATATTCTCAATTTCAATAACTACTCTGGCAAGAAAAAGCACACAGGATTTCCAAAATCAATACATTAGGTCAGTGTCTACAGTGCAGCACAATTCATACAGGCAATTCAGTGTTATCCCATGTGTTTCCATTTCTCAATGCTAATCACTTTTGATTTGAAGATAAGCTGTCAGATGCCATCAATCTATTCACCATCTCCCACCACTCCTACAGAAGGCTTTGCTGTCTCCTTTTCAAATAACTTCAGGAAGTTTTTGTAGAGTAGGATGTCTTTTTAAATACGAAACTTTTAAATAGGCTTTAAACAGTCATCATTATGTAAGAGTAATATAGAACACATACTGAATTCATGCAGAGATTCTCTAAAGTTCTGTGTCCACTTTACCTTTCATCATGTTTCCAGTAAGACTCAGATTTCCCAATTCTACTTTTAGGTCCCATTTAGCAAGGGAAGTCTCCTATTTTCCTAAATTCCATCACCATTAAATGTTTGGATTCATTCCCACTGCTACCAACCTAGTTCAAATCTGCATAGTCTTAGGGGGCTCTGAGACCAGATATGTTTCCTGAGAAATTTCTCATATTCTTTCAGTTTCTTCATGTCCAAAATGAAGACATTCAGACCTATGCATGAGGGTAATGGGAAAGATGAATGAGAGCGTGTGCATGAGTGAGCCTGGCACAGGGCCCAGCATCATGCAGATGCTAGCTAACTCTAAGGAACTTTCTTCTTTTCCAGCTCTCTCCTTCCCCAGTTCTCCTCTCAGACTTCATAACAAGACTTATCCTGAAATATGCATGTGATTTCCTTACTCTCCTTCTCAAATTCTTCCAGAGTTCCCCACAACTTAGGAGGGTAATTCTCCAAGTGTGTTCCATGGAACAGAAACACTTAAGAACTATGAGAAAGGGAAATTCTTAGGCCTCAATTCAGACCCCTGAATCAGAAACCATGGGTGAAAATAGGGCCAATAATGTTCTCATAATCCCTCCAGTTGATTCTGAGTTTTCATAAACCCTCCAGCAGATTCTGAAGTGTGCTCTAGTTTGAGAATTGCTGCCCAAAGGACAAAGTCCAGTCTTCTTAATCTGGGATTACACAGCTTCCCCAAAACAATTTTCTTGCACTCACCTTTCCAAACCTCCTCTAAGGCGAGTTTATTAATTATCTTCCAAACCTACCACTTACTTTTCCAACTCCAAGATTATACTCGCCTGTTGTCTCTTCCCCCGTGTATAGCACCTATCCTACCCTGCTTAAATTTCACTGTTCTTTTAATTCTTTCTGGATGATCCCAGTCTTGTAATTTTTTCCCATCCTTTAATTCCAATTATTACTGAATATTGATTTAGGTGATAATCTGCACAGATCACAAGACGTACCTGGCCAATTACATTTTAAGAAGCAAAAAAATGCACATAAAAATAAAGATTTTGGGCCTGTGTTGCAGAAAATCATATCTTTTTAAGAGAAAACCACTGTTCCACAAGGCAACAAACGAGTAGCAAGTTTCAAGGGCTCATCAGCAATTTCCATTTCAAATATATAGGTTTTATTTCATCATCTTCAAATTCCTCAGTGATTTATATTTCTTATAATTATGTAACTTTTCATGTTTTTTCTCTCCTATTACAATACAGCACTTAAAAGGGCCATTATTTTTTTTAAAAAATCCTATTTTCCTGAATGCAAAACAGTATTTAGTGATTACTATCTAAAATAATATTCTGGACATTGTATAGAGGCCCAAAAGATTTAAGTTCTCCCAGAAACTTTTGATTTTTCACATACTTGGTACAGTTTCATTAGCTTTCTAAAATATATGTATCAGAGTACAGCTTTTTCATTTTTCAGTGAGAAATACATATTTGAAGACAGAATGTCCTCTGCTGGAAGAGATCTAGCCCTGCCTGGGCACAGTATTCGACAGAACCTAGATACTGCCTGTGACTTTTAGTCTGAACCCTATTTTTATATCCTAGACTTTATCCCTCACAAAATGTGTTAATCTCACTCTTCGGTGGACTATTGAGTTTTTCTCCCACCCAGCCAGATCTGGTGGTGACAATGGAAAGCTGCCTTGCCAAAGGTATCTTCCTAATGGCACAAAACCGCCCAAGATGACGAGAATTTTAAAACAATATTCACGGGGCCTTTCTTTTTCAGGGAAGAAAGGAACTTTCTCTTTGAATCGATCTGCCGACCCCTGCTGGTCCACACGTCCCCCGCCCCAAGACATCATCCCATTCAGTAGCCTCCTTCTCCTGCCCCCAATCCTCCAGGGGGCGCCCCCAATCGGGGACTGACCCCAAGCTGGCAGCCTGAGGACTCTCCAGCCCTGACTCCAGGACGACTCGCGCACCCGCGCCCCGACTCACCCTCCCGAGGCCACGGAAGTGCCGCCCCGCCCCTTCCGCCCCTTCCTCCCGCCCCTTCCGCCGGGCAGTGGCGCGCAGGCGCTTCGCCAACTGCAGGCACGGGGCGGGGTCTGACCCAGGTCTTCGCAACGTGGCCGGGGAGTTCCGTTGTGTGGTGGCGGGTGCGTGGGGGCGCTGGGGTGTCGTCTGAGAAGGCAGCCGAGGGAAACTGGGGGTGTTAACGTCTTTTAGGTTAGCTTTTGCTCTTCTCCGGGTCCAGTTTGACCCTTCCGCCCACGGCGTTCGACGACTACGTGTCCCCGCTCCTGTGCTGGCCCTTCACCCGGCCTCGGGTCACGTCCCGAGTCTCGTCCCGCCCCCAGCGGCCCCTGGAGGCCGTGTTGCACCTTCTTTCCTTGTAAGCTGTAATGTGGGCTCGGGAGCGAGACGCGTAACGATTGACAAACTGGTGCAATAAGATCTCTGCAAAGCAGTTGGCAACCTGTTGGAGTAAATGCTCATTGTCCAGCCAGAATATAGTTTAAATTTTTTAAATGGTTTTAAATAGCTGAAGGCTCACGTTTCTTCTTAAGAATCATCCATTCATATTAATTTTTTTAACATGCCCCAAAGGCAAGAACCTGCACTCACTTCCACAACTGTGCCCTCGAGAAGTCCGGGGGCGGGTTGCCGGGGGTGGCTGAAATGAAAACGAACAAGCCTAATATTTGCCATCTCATGGCCGGTTGGAATGGTAACTAATGTTTTTTAAAGCATATTAAGTGCTATAACAGGTAATAAAACTGTTGCATACAAGTCTAGGGTTTTTAGGGAAAACTTATTCTCCTAAATGTTTGCTATAATCTGGCAAAGATAGCATCTATGAACCATAGACAAGTAGAAATGCTCTTAAATGGGTGCTGTAATTAATATCTGGAACCCAGACCTCTATCCTCACGTGTGATTTGCATAATTGCATGTGATTGGAAAGGTTTAGGCCTTCTCAATTATTTTGATACAGAATGCTTCTTAATGGATGTAGAACAATAAAAAAAAAAGGATAATTGGTCTTCCGTTTCATCTTCATTATTGATCTTACTACTA